ATACTCAGTTTTATCTCATTTGTAGCATCTTTTCTTTTACTATTCAAAGCTTGAGTTTTTTCATCCAGAAATACAAACTCAATGAGTCTTTCCCTCTTTGACTCTTTCACTCATCAATTAACATGGGGCCCTGCCCCAAAGGCACTCTATCAATGATAAAAAATTAGATTCATTGAAAAAAACAATTGTGAGAGATAAAAGAAATGACATAGAGGAAAAAAATCAAAAACTAAAAAAGACACAGGAATAAAAACCCTAGTAGTGGGTCATTGGATTTTCAATTTTCCTCTCTACAGTCAATTGGAAACAATCAGAAAATTTGGCTTCCCATCCACAAGCCTCTTCTGAGGCCTTTTCTTTCCAATCCTTCATGAGCTGAGGGGCAGCAAAGAGTCTTGGGTTATGTAACTGCAAGGGGACAAAATGAGAAAAATCGGATAGAAAAGCAATAAAAATTGGGTTTTTGTCATTGAACTTGAAGGTTGATTTGGGTGAGTGGATATGGGTCAGTTGTGGGTATGCGGGTTAGGGTTGGCAACTCCTGCATGGGAGAAGAAAAAAAAATTCTTCTCCCAATCCGACTCCTCCTGCAAGACAAAAAAACAGCTGAGTTGTCACTTTGGGAAATTGGGCCATCAACTCCCATTTTGTCAGGTGACTTGATCCTGACAAATCCCAATTAAAAAAAAAAAAAAAAAAAAAAAAACCAGAAAAACCCAAAAAAAAAGATGAGAATTGAGAGCGATGACTCCCAAATATTACTATTAGGCGGACGGCTCCCAAATATTACTATTAGGCGGACAACTCCCAAAAAAAAAATAAAAAAAAATACAAAAGAATGTATTTCAAAATGGGTGGACGACTCCCATAAAAAAAATTCATATTGGTCTGACGACTCCCCGGACCAAGCCCTGGGTCCACAGTTGGTCCATGGGTGGTCTGCAGACGGTCCTCTCAATGTCAACAACCAAATGGGAGCTGTTGCCTAAAATTTAGGAGTCGTTTTTCCAAGCCCCTATAAAATCAGTCAATCAGACTGACCTCATATTGGTCACTTCCGGGCAACCTTAGAGCAACTCCAACGGAGCCGCGATCGGGCATCCGGGGGCAAAATTTGACTGCCCAAAACACAATTTTGTGCTCCAACGGACCCGCGGAACAACCCTGGGAACATCCCCGGGGGTGATCCAACCAGCAATCAACCTCTGAGTTCTGCGGGTCACCTCCCAGCCGCAATTCCCATATCGTCCACCCACAACACCAAACACCCCACAACAATGGCCGACACTGATCCAACATATTCAACACACACACACACCCGCCAACACACACAAAGAAAAAAAAAAACAATGGAAAATCAAAATCAACCCCCCAAAAAAACCCAACCGATGATGCAACAAAAAAACTGATGGATGATGCAACCCCAAAACCGGCCAAAAAAACGTCATCGAGATTGGTCCCACCCCCAAATCAGAGAAAGATGACAAATCCAAAGATGATGAAGATTCCAAAGGGGATGAAGAATCCAAAGAAACTGAATGTTTTTTTGTTTCCCTGTTTTTCAAGACAGCCTCTTTCTACCATTGCTTTTCACTCTTTTTATTATTGCTTCTCACCAAAATCTTAATTGCAATTGATCTAGAGATGCTCTTATTGGGTTGTAACCAATACAACCCCTTTCAAAGTGATGCATACCAAAAGCCATACTTAAGCCCATCACTATGGGTTTAAGTTAGGGTTATTCATGGCTTATACCTCCCAGAGGTCCTTCAAGCACCTACAGCATCAACATGCAGTGTTTATTCAATACTCCAAGCCAGTTTTTCATCACTCCTTCACTTGGCCTCAAAAGGGCTGTAAAACCATGTAAATTCCAAAGAACTCATTTTTCAGCAAAAATATTCCAACACCCTCCAAATCCAGGGTTGGTTTTTGCCATCTGCAACTGTACCACCCGTGGTGGGGTGGTGTTTTGGAAATTGGGGTGGTAAACAGGGCTTACAACCCGGATTTACCACCTGGGGTGGACTGACCCTCAAAATCGCAATTCGGGAATGGGCCACCACCCGGGTATATTTCGGGGGCCCCGTCCGCACCTAGCGATGTATGTGATATGTATTTGTGTATGTAGACCCTTGGATCTGTCTCAATCGGTCTCGACTCTCTCCAATGGTTGAGATTTGGATTTTGAAGACACGCGAGGGGAGGGGGGAGCATGATAAAGTCGATCTGACTGGATGCAGCCAGCTGGTTCATCCCTCCGCCCCCTCACACTCGCCAGTTTGTCAGCATAGCTCACCCTTCATCCAATATTATCATCGTCGGTCATCTCCTTCCTTAAATAACTCCGACCGACCTGATCAAAGAAATATAACTAGCAACATAAGCCAATCGAGCTGAGTCAGCGCATGATGGCACTCGATGAAACCAAGAAATCATTATTACTCGTCAGCCAATCCCAACCACCACAGCCACGTTCACAGCAGAATACCTATTACCACCAGCAGGCCAACCCAGCGCACTGGCGGAACCGGAGGATCACCAAGGTTCTACTACTCTATCTGATCATCCTCATCAGCCTGGGCTTCTTCTACCTCCGATATCTCCACCGATTGATCTTCATCGATTACTCAGCATTCCCTCCCCGCACCGGCCCTGTCATCATCCATCCCGGCCAAGACCCGGAACTAGCCGTGCCGACCTACAATCTCACCCACCAGATCCTCAGCACTAGTAACACCCGGCGGCCCGGAACTCATCCGAAGCAAGGCCCTCTGAGCGACGAGAACCTGTTAATCGACCGGGCCATCGACGAGCTCTCCAAGCGCTTCCAATCAGTCTTCATCAAGCCATCCACTCTCAGCTGTCGGACCTCACTGGAAACCCAGGAGCTGATCCGGACGCGATTTCTGGACGGAAATGAGAAGCCTAAGGGGGGACACAAGGTGATGATTGCACTGAACCTGCATTCATCCCAAGACGTGCTACCGGCTATCGCCAATGCAATCCTGAACTCGCTGCGATACCTCGGGATTGAGAACGTGTTTGTGTCGGTGTATGAGAACGGGTCGTGGGACCACACCCCCGAAGGACTAGGTCATCTCGGCGCCGTGCTCACTGGACTGGGTGTCCGGCATCACATCCGCTCGGCGCGTGAGGAGACCATCTGGACGGGCGTGGACCGGATCAAGCTGCTCTCGGAATACCGCAACATGGCCCTGTCCTCCTTCGAGAATGCCGACCGGGCCCTCCACGGAATCTCTGAACTCGTCTTCATCAACGACGTCTTCCTCTGCGCCCAAGACATCCTCGAGCTCATTTGGGAACGCAACTTCCAGAAGGCCGATGCTAGTTGCGGCACTGACTGGAGAGAATCTAAGACGATCCTCGACGAGTATGGATGGACGTCCAAGTCCAACGGACCCTCGAACACTGACAACCCAAGCAAATCCGTCGTCCTCTATGACTCCTGGGTTGCCCGGTCCTTGACGGGCAAGACGCTCAGACCCAGGCTCGATTTCCTAACGGAGTATCGGGATGGATATTCGGTGATCTTTGATCATGAGGATACAAAGCTGTACCAGAACCGGTTCCAGAACGCGCTAGCAGTGCCTGTATACTCGTGCTGGAACGGGATAGTGGCCTTGAGTCCGAGGCCGTTCCGGGCGCCCACGGGGCTCAAGTTCCGGGCGGCGGACCGCAAGATCGACGAGTGTCCATCCTCGGAGTGTCAGCTACTCGCTAAGGACTTCTGGTCCCTCGGCTTCGATAAATGGATCCTCGTCCCCAAGGTCGCCGTCACTTATACCCAGAATATCTACTACGCTGACGCCCTCGTCCGCGGCTCTAATCGCGACCATCGTCAACTCCCTAACCTTCTTACTCAACTCACTCAAGATATCGAGCCTCAATTCTCGAGCGAAATCGTCGATTGGAGGAAATATACTAAACCTGATACCGTCGTCTGTTGGCCCGTCAGTCTTTCTTTCCTCTCTTTTGACATCCTCTTGTGTGTTTTTTTTCGTCTAACTCAATTTTTTTTTCGCTTTTTCAGGATATGTATAAGTTTCATATCGACTTCGAATGGAATCACGTGCTTGAATCTCCCTACAACCCCAAACTGTTATCCAACTCTTCCTCTCCCACTTCCTCCTCTGTGACTCTTCCTGACGATGATCATCATCATCTTACTCCTCCCCATCCAAAGTACTTCTCCTCTTCTCCTCCTCCTAGTTAGCTCCACACTTTACATCTTTTTCTTTTGTATTCATCGTTCGACACTCATCATCATAAATATGAAAACATTCTTGTTTATAATTGCATAGAAAAAGAATTGATTAACTTTTGGTGCTTTGTTGTATTACTTTGAATCTTATATATATACATACATACACATATACACACATATACATATATCTATATACAGAATGACAATCATGTTTCCTTTGACTTTCTCTATCTCTTACATATGATCACCTTTCTCTTCTTTTTTGTTTTTTTCATGTTGTATATATCACAAGGCCACTGTTTTCTTTTCTTTCTTACCTGATTTATTTGAATACATGTAGGTAAGTGTGTGAATGTATGTGTTTGGAGGATAGGGGGCTGAGAGGGATTCACACAGTCTTCTGATCCCATGTGATTGTGTTCTGGACCTCAGTTCAACCAGTTTGTTTTGCTGAAATCTGACAACAAAGTGATACTGAGGCTTGAGGATTTGATTATTGAGTGAGTCAATCAACATTCAAAGGGTTTTTTGAGATAAAAGATACAGAGAGGAAGAGAAGGTTGTGTTTACTTTTCAGTTAGGGGTCTGGAGAGGAGATGGAAGGCTGAGGTTTTGAGATGCTCAGATTCAGTTTATTTTGATGATGAACTAGGTTTGAGCTGTTCTAACTGCTGTGTATTGGATGAAACGCTTCCAGATTCCAAGACTAGTTACATAATTTAATGTCCCACCAAGACTGCTGGACAGATCCATGACAAATACCAAGATTCTGTTTCACATCACAAGGTCAAAGGCAACTCTCCAGATTATTTCCCCTACCACTAGAGCATCTCTAAGAGCATCTCCACCGCGGGTTGCTAAACCAATTATAGCAACCCAAACCCAATTTAGCAACGCCACCGCGGTTGCTAAACACCCCAAAAAAATGGCAACTCACCTCTCGGGAGCTACAGCGGTTCCATGAAAGCTTGCGCTTTTCACCGAAAAAAAAAGAAAAAAAGAAAAAAAAGAAAATTAAAGTTGCTGCGGAGTGCGCGTGCACCACTGCATGCAGCCTCACGATTGAGCCTGATTCCCTCGATCAGATCACCTTGACCAAGATCAGCGATTGGTTTTTGGTTCAAGTGGTAGGCTTAACTTTTCTTTTCTCTTGGTTTCGGAAGCACATTGACTGACTATCTTGTTTGTTGAAGCAAACAGATTTATGATTGCCAATCCGATCAATTACTTTTCTCAAGCTGATCCTTCATCTCATTTTGTATGAAGATCAAGTTCGAAGAGCTTCTGGGTACCTGGAGAACCGGGTCGGCAGCGCAATCCGAACTTTTTGGTCCCGAGATCCAAAGGAAAATGGAAGATGGCATCTTCGGTAGTTGGCGTTGGCGACACGGGAATGAAGCCCTAAATAGTCTGGCGTGTAATAACGGGGTAAGCTGCCCTTAATATATATATTTTTTCTATATATAATTTTTTCTAGGTAAATCCTAACTTGCTATTTTTCATAATTTGTCTAGGTTAAGCAACTACCAGCAATCACATTGCCTGCCAAGACAGCTAGCATCTTATTTGACCTGCGAAGGATATTGGCCGACTGACGAGACATTGCCACCCATGCCCCAACCAATCAAGCCAATCTAGCCCAGATCAACACCTTGCAGCAGGTTGAGCTGCCTTCCCTTTTCTTTCTTCTTGTATTTGATTTTTCCGTTACTCACCCCTTGATTCTTCTATCACAGCTCAAGCAATTAGTGGCCACCCAACAGTTGACTATGTCTCAAGTCGAGGAAATTCACAAGCAGCTTGCAGCTCCCCCACCACCCCCCATCGAGCAACATCCCGCCTTGAGCACGTCTCATCACCTTTCTCAACCACCTAATATCTTCGAGGACTTGGGTGCACTTGCTCAGCTTAATCACTTCCTCGAAGCCAACCCGAACATTCTCCAGCAAGTGTTGCAGCAGTCACAGCAAGCCCAGCCTCCTCAAGCGGCTTTGGCTCAGCCCATCCTCAACCCCAAATTCCAAAATGTATCAGACATTCTGTCCCAGTTTGTTCATCCCCAGCACACCACCCCTCCTGCCTCTGAATCAATCACCCAAGCCCCACTCAATCTTAATCTCTTTGATAGCCAGCATCTTGCCACTGCCTTGACTGTCCTCAATGTACCTCAATGTAACACTCAACAAAACACCACCCCTTTCATGCGGCAGCAATCTCATGAATCAGCCCAAAAGCTTAGTCCATTGCCATCGAGCTGGAACTCAAATGGGAACTGTAGATTGCATGATCACCCGGATCCAGCAGTGATGGAGTACAAAGTCAAGATTGCAGGCCTCTTGATCAAGCTCCAGAACGCATCCATCAACCGAGTGAAGCCCAGCAAGATAGCTGATCTGCTCTACTCGGACATCCCCCAGTTTTGCAGACAGGATGGTAGCCGATTCTTGCCTGGCAAGATTGGCAACCAACATGCGTCTGACCAGGGTGCGCGAGTCCGGGCAGCGCGCACAACAGCGGATGTGGGCCCAGGCCGAGTTCACCTGGCTGTACTCCCAGGACATGGATCTCACGGGCAAGAAGGCCCATCCCAGACATGACGACTGTCCCTCGACAACAAGGAGGATGGATGAGGAGCAGGAGAAGATGGCTGAGCTCCAGTGCAAGACCGTAGTCAGACCAAGCCTGCCCCTATTGGCTTCCCTGTCCAATCTGTCTCAAGCCTTTCAACACTAAACTTGATGAGGAGGAGGATGAGTTCTTCTGGATCAATGCAATCGAGAGCTTTAATGAAACCAAACAAACCACAGTCTTCTATCATGCTACTTGTCATTTTGAGACCCTTTGTAATCACAAGAAACCATGCAACTGAAGGCAGGAGGGCTTGGTCAACCCAAGAGAGCCTCTCAAGGCCTGTCCTCCGTTGCCAATGCTTCTGACAACACCAAGCAGCTAGCTAATCCCCAAGCCTTGTCCCTTACCACCACCCCCTCCAAGTCTGAGATGGATAACACTAATAAGACTCAGCTCGTCCAATCGAGAGATCATCTAGCCAAGGAGGAAAACATCAATCGATTTTCCTTAGTCAAATTCTCCGATCAATCTGGCTTGGCTCCTGATATCATCAGTCGTCAGAAGAGCATCAACGTCAATCAGCTTTGTCCTCGTCGATCTCTCCCAATCGTGTCGGCTCGTCTGTCCTGTTGATTGGCTTCTGTTCTACTTGGTTTTCGAGTTTGATCAGAGTTCCACAGCTACGAGTTTGATTGCTCCTCGATTTCAACGCTGCTAGAGTTTGATCGGTACTCGGTTTCGACGCCTATCCAAGGTCGGCTGCTATTTGAGGTCGGCTGCTATTCGAGTTCGACCGCCTTTCAAGTGAAGGTTGTGATTCTCCATCTTGTGAAGGTTGCTGAGATTTTTAGTCATCGAGTGCAGTGCATGCGCACTGTGCAGCAACTTTAAATTTCTTTTCTTTATGTCTTTTCTTTTTTTTCGGTGAAAAGGGAAGCCTTCCTGGGACCGCTGGGTCCAAGTTGCCAAAGATAGCCACACGATAGCAACCCACCTGGCAAGTATCACAGTCCTCTGTGATCTCCATCTCGCATCTCCCCTAACCCGACACCCAATCCTCAGACATGCACTCCATGAACCGGTACCGTCGGTACCGGTTACTAGAGAATGCTAACTCTCAACTAGACCAGCACCGGTCATGAAAAAGTGTTCCTCGAAGACCAATACCGGTCTCAGTCCCAGTCATCAATACCAAACATACAACTCAGACCAATACCGGTAATTGGAGAATGTACTCTCAAAGACCGGTATTACATATTCATCCTTGAGAGTGTACGTTATCTAGCAACCGATACCGGTCTTCAAGAGTGTACAGTCTATATCGACTGGTATTGGTCACTGAGAGCGTCTCAATGACCCATATCAGCCCCTAGAGAGTGTATGTACACATTTGATGACTGGTATCGGTCATGGAGAGTGTGCACTTCAATGACCGAGGTGGCTGCTAGGAAAGAGCCGATACCGGCTTGTCTTTGGGGGAACCTTTCACGCTCCCCAGTTGCTATCTCCAGCAACTCGCGGTGCAAATCCGACCGGGCGCGAGTTGCTAAACGTGCGCCGCAGTTGCCGAACTTGAAGATTTGGCAACTCGGATGGCAACCTGCGGTGGAGATGCTCTAACAGAGCCGGGGGGTCAATTGGGCTGTTTTCAGCAGGCTCAACTAACATTCACACAGAATAACAGGCCTCTCACATGTAGTTTATTCCTTTCTTTGTCCAGATACCTACCCTGGATGGGGAGGGGGAAATAGACAGCCAAGAGCTGACTCTAGCAGGTCTGCTCCAATTCAATGAAGTCCCTAATATACAATATCAAGATCTGGGGGTACTTGATATATATTTGAGGTGTGGTGAGCCCAAAAGTGGGTCATAGCTTATATAATCCTGGTTGAACATGCTGAAAACAGCCCAATCCACCCACGCTCCATTAGAGATGCTCTTAGACATCTATTCAATCCAGCCATCTCAAAATGTTTTATCAACATCCCCAGTGTATCACCCTTCAGGATGACTCAACTCCAAATGATTAGCAGCTGGAGAACTTTCAACACTAGGCATACTGGCAATTATTTTGTTATCATAGAGTAGACATTATTGTAGAAAAGTAACAATCAGGTTGCAGGTAAAATTAAGGATTTGTAAAATGATTTCAAGTGAATTTGGATCTTCTTTTGAGGATTGATACTCAATATTATTGAAGCATCATTTGAACAACATTTCTGCTGGAAATTTTGTGTGCACAAAATGCTTTCTTCTAGAAATTGCCATCTGGTGATCAAAGGAACAAAATCATCAAATGATGTAGAAATTAGATTCTCTACCACTAGCAATATTGAATTTGCATGCTTATAGTATTGCATGGAAGAATGGTATTAAAGGGTAAAGAGAGCATGCAGTCAAACAAAAAGGAACAAGATGCAAACCATCCCAACTCCATCATAAGTTTTATACATGAAGGACTCCATTGAAGTTTAAATCAAACTCAATACCACCCATAAAGTCCAAATTCCACCAGTCATGAGCCAGCAGACGATAAAAAAGACTTTCCAAGTTAACCATTTGTTCAGCAATTCTAGTCATCTTCATTTTCTCTTCCAGGTAATAATTGTGATAGTCTCCTGAGGTGATTTCTGTTCATTTTAATTTGATTTTGGTTGTTTTTGTTTAAAGTGGTAAAAGAATCATAGAATCAAGACAGAATTCAGATTTCTTCAGAAATATGAATGGTGAAGATTCACTGACCTTGAATCAACTCGTCTAAAGATCTCCTCCACAGCGGTTGTAATGATTCAAGTTCCAATGAATTTGTCTTGATTTCATCATTGAGCACAGTTCTCAGATCTGATCTTGCAATCATATGAAGGGTGTCTGGTGTGTTGAGGACACGTGTGAAGGAGTCTTTGTTTACCAAGCTGAACTCCCTGACACTGTTTAAAATTAACATGACCGTATTACGGTACTCGTTCGAAAGATCATGCAGATTGTGCTCGTCTACGACGTTGTCACGCTTTGATAACTTGATTAACTCCTCCAGGTCATCCGCCAGCCTCTCTCTAAGTTTCTCCAAAATCAAATCGGAAGAATCCTGATCAAGTGACCCAACGAGAAAATATGCCCGTTGACGCGAAAACAGCTCGGAGTTGATCTTGTGCTTTAGTAGGGTTTTTATCGTGTTCACCACATTTTCTATCTGAACAAAACCACGATTAAATTCTTTTAACTTGTCTGCCTTTGCGGCTTTCAACGTTTCTTTGGCGAGCCGAACACTTGCAGATATTCCTTGGAGGCGGGCGGTATACTTTGAAATTGTTCCTGTGTTATAACCGATCAGCAAATCACCTAGCCGTCGGTCAAAGACAGAAGTCTGTTTTTTCAAGAGCACTTACTCAGACGCTCATGTTTGAGTCTGAATCTCGCTTCATTTACGATATATTTTCTCTGCTCGTCTGCACATTCATAAACAGGAGGCAAATGTGAAATTAGAAATCTACTGCAGCTAGTTATTCACATTCGGATATATGTCAAGAAACTAACTCAATTCCTTCAATTCGATAATCTGCTTATCTTTTTTTGAAACTATTTCGATTTAATTTTGAAACCATCCGAGCAATCGAAAGTGTTTCGGGTAAGTAAAAGTTATAGCATGGTTAGTCATGGAATCAAGCACCTATAGAAAAAAATAATATTATCACTTGACAGCTCAGATTGATGCACTCACTTTTGTGCTTTGGTAGATTTTTCTCTGGCGGTAGACAATCTGGAAATTTGTGAAAGGCCATGATATATTCTGTTTCATTGATCAAAATGAAAATTAGTCTCTATACTCTTCACGAGTAAGGTTTTTGGAATTAGGCCTTGACAGTATACTATACTCACTCAAAAATTCTATTTTACGACTCAAGACCAACTGCTGTGAGTTTAGGATTTTTGGTTGGTCAAACACAGATTGGCTCCTGGGATCTGGAATTATGCAGATTTTTTAGTCAGTCATTGTGGCTATAAGTAGCAAGCCCATGTCACGCTTGTGTATGATGATTAAAACAGAGGGGAGCTGGGGTTTACTAAAGAAATCCCGGCTCGCACTAGTACCACCCGAAGCTAAGCCAATGGTTTCGATAGAACCACTTTCCTTCCCCGGAATCTTTGATCCAATTTCTAAGTGAGGCCGAGTTTCCATATCTTGTCAACACACAAACCCCACTTTCAAGAAATTTAACGCATGGGCACCTCACCTGAAGCTGGTTTAACCACGTCTATTCGGTGATCCGGACGCAAGGATGGCGCCAAGAATGTGACTGAAAACAGATTTAAAAGGCCAAAAATGACAAGAGCTCCTCGGATCGGAAAAAACATTAGGGTTACTTAGAATTTGTTATAGAAAAAAAATGAAGGCAGATGGGAAATTCGTAACTCAGGGCAGGTTATGCTTTATTTTGGAAGGCAAGCGGTCTAGAAACCTGAGGTGAACTTTGGCTCCGGGGGGATATTCGTCTGCCTGAAAAAAGTAAGGCCCACTTCAAGTTCAAGAATTACAGATGCTTCCAGAAGGGATTACAGGCAGCTTGCCCATGAAACTGCCTTCGGTCGATCCCATAATTCGTGTTCTGCTTACAATAATCAGGGCCCTGTATGTTACAAGTCTGCCCTGAATGTGAAAGCTTATTGCAAGATCAGTCACTTTGGATGATATTGATACTCACTCAGACGCCATATGAGTCAGCTCGATTTCTGTTTCAGAGGAGCTTTTGGTTAGCGATGGCTCGTTAAAGCACCTTCAGGCACCCGCCGCTCAGGGCGAATCTATGCAATCAGGAGGGCAACCTCGGCCGCACGGTGTACAGACCCTCACACCTCTTTCCAAAAACCTCCCAAGGCCGACTTGGGAAAGTTTCCCCCGACCGATAATTTGGCTTCGCGCAGGAGAGACTGCTATGTGGTCTCGGGAAGGTTAACCCGACATGGTGCGCCACATGGGTTCCTGGTGGGTGCGGAGCGGAGGGCAGGTCGGATGTCGGGCAGGTACAAATACATACTGCAAAAGATAAACTATGTGCAGCCATTGAGAATCTCCTAAACAGGAGAATTAGGCATGTACACTATTGGATTCAAAAGTGATTTCCAGTGAGCAAAAAGGAAATAAACCAGGCTTTAAGAAACATGCCTTCTTCACCAGGAATTAGTGCCATGAACTCCAGAGCCAAAGCAGCAACCTATCAAAAACACCAGTCTCCATCATCCTCCAGAAGGACATGTGGACTCAAATTTTCCCACAAAACCCATGGGGGCTGTTGCACAAGTTTGGCATGAGGTTATTTTCCTCCAGGGATTGCTGCCTGCCAGGTGGCAAGACCTGAGCCTCAAGATTCAAGAAGGGAATCCTCATTGCTGATCAGGTCATAAAACTTGATCAACTGAACAGGAGGAGTTCCTTCTGCCATTTCTGGATCAGCTGGTCAAGTCCAATCAACCAGGAGGGGCTCCTTAAGCTCATTGAGCTTTGCAATGGTACAGCCTGATCAACTTGTTGAAATTATTCATTTAGGGATTAATGATAGCATTCTCTTGAGATAAAGCATAGCTGAATTCACAGCCTCCTTGAGAAAGATTTTGTTGTATGTAATTGAAAGAAACAAAGATTTTTCTTGCAATGTGAACTTTCAAAAACCTGTGAATTAATTATTAAACAGACTGACTGGATGACTTCCTGTTGACATCTGTGGGTCTCCCAGTTTTGATTTAGAGCGGCAAAAGCTAGATTTCCCTTGGAAAATCTAGACTTTTTGGGTCTAAATCAAAAACTGTGAGGGTCCCAGATCCAACAGGAAGTCCTCCACTGAGCTAACTGCTTGGAAAGATAGGCCAAATGAGACTTCAGGTATGCTTGTCCAAGCCCTTCCTAGATTAGGACACCTGGTAGATTGTTCAGACTTGCTTTTCTAAGCAGGCGGGCCCACCTATTGTCTGCTTGGATAGCTGAGTGCAACTGCTTGAGTGACAATCATCTCAAAGAGCTTCATGAAAAAAAAACAAATTCAAATTCTGATTGCACCTGCCTTTCCTTCCAAGTAGTTGGTTCAAGCAGTGATACAGCCACACACATCTTATCAACTCATGAAATTTCCCTTGAACTCTAAGCTCACATGAAATCACATGAAAAGGGTATGCGAGGCCATGGGTTGAAGAATCTGAGGAAAGAAATGAAAGCAAAACCAGTGCTCATTTTGCTCTGCTTCCAAGTTTTTAATGGGGGCACTACATACATGCGGCTTGGGGTACACCATACCTTACAGGCTCTTACAGGCCAGTGCACGACTTCTCAACATGAGGAACTTAATTCAGTTTGTAGGCTCTGGGTGTGGCTTTGACGAATTCAATGTAAGGGTATGTATTGGAGTGACACGTTCTGAGTTCACCGATTACTGACCCAGACCTGTATCCTGAAGTGATACAGTTGCGCAAGGCAATCCGCTGTAACACCCTGCCTGCAAAAGTTAGTTTCGTGACGCGGGCCCGATGTTCTGTGACCACCGGGGTCAAAATCACATGTAGACCATGTTTTTGAGCATTTCAGACCATGTACAATCCAAAACTAAGTCCGCTAAGGTTTCTGTCCAGCGGTTCTATTTTTTTTTTTTTTTTTTTTCAAATATTTCGGACACATAGTGCAAATGGGCAGTATAAGTCCATATTTATGGGTTTAGACAGTATAAACCCATACTTATGGGTTTATTTGGTGGCTGCAAGTGCCTCACAACACATGTAACATGAGATCGACTGCATCATTTCAGATTTTTTAGAGATAAGACCGGAGCAGAGACACAAGAGTAAAGAAACAGAAAGAGAAGAAACTGATTCTAATTAGTGAGAATATCGATTCGCATTGCTGCTTGGCGAGGGATGCATCGATGAGATTTGTATTTTTTCATCAATATGACTGATTGGGGACCATTGAATCCCTGTCGATAAGCTGAGAGTTGTCGGTCTATTCGTCGAATCGTGGTAGAGGAGTGTGTTGTGTGTATAGGAGGGCTGGGTTAATAATATTTGACCAAGTTGGTCAAGAATTTTGCGGAGTAACTCAAATCCGCAGCAAGATTTCTCAATTTTTTTTTGTCAACATTTCGGACATGAAAAAAACTGTTACAGTGGATTGCCTTGCGCAACTGTACCTCGCTCTAAGTTTAACAGTATTCACTCCATCACACAATTGATTAATGAGATCACCCAGGACCACCCTTGTGATTTTTTGAATTGTACTTGGAGGTAATAACACCGACGGGTGATGGACGGGGTTAATAAGGGGGAAGGAATCGAGGGTCTGGGCCAAAGTGGGCAATTGATGACGATCGGTCCAAGATTGTACGAAGAGACTCTGGAGATCGAGAAGTTGGAATTGAGTTCTGAAGTGGCTGCGTGAGCTTCAAGGAAAGCCTTTCCTTGCCTTTGCCGACCAGCTGTCTCTGATTCCATCGGCTGCGTGCTCGTAGATTGTGAAGAAATCGCTTTCTTTAATGAGGTGACGGTGGTGTCTCATACATAAATAAATAAAGATGCCCGTTCAGAAATTTAAGAAGTTTGAACCGAGCCTTTGAGTTTTGGAAAGACCTGCAGAAGACTAGCGCTCGAGATCAGTACCGGCAGTTTGACCCGAATTGAATTTATGTAATAATCTTTTCAACCATCTTCGTGCTGTGTTTACATAAAATCATCACCAGAATTCTCTTCGCAGATGATTCGCCACTACGATGCAACAGCTAGTCGACTCACCCACCAGCAGCAGCAGTGCTCTCAACGGCTTCGAGTCCCACCGCGCCAGACTCAAACAGTTCCGTCGACAGGCCATCCACTCGATCGGCCTCAACAGTAAATTAACACAGCAGGAACAGCAGCAGAGGCTTACCCAAGACCTGACTCACAGCCTTACTAATCCCAGCTCTTCACCCTCTGCCAAGCCCACGCTGATGATGGTCAACAGGAAAACTGAACAAGAACAGCCCACCCTCAACCCAGACTCACCAATCCACCTCCAGGTCAGCAGTACCCATTTATCGTCTCACTCAGATATATATATATATATACTGACTGTTTGTTGCTATTCCATCCAATACAGTCTCGGGAGGCACGAACAGGTGATAGAGCTCAACTTCTTTTCCGTTCCACTTCTCGGGACAGTCATCGTGATCGGATTGAAATAGTTGAGTATCTCCTATCTCCAAGTGTGCAGTGGAAGACAGAAAGAAAGGGACATGGTTTTTTTGGAACTCTGGCTCCCAATCTTTCTGTCTATGTATCCACTGTACATCTTTCTACATGTGTATGTATCAATAATATCTCACTAATATCCACATCTCTTGGCTGTTCTTTAGCATTCTCCACCAGCTTCAACGAAATTAGACCATTTGGACCTTTCAATCACCGGCGATCCTGCTCGCAAATCCTCCATTTCCACCACCCAATTCACTGTCAACCAGCTTGGCACAAGAGCCCAAGATCCTGGGAATCAAGACAAGCATGATGAGGCTTCAAACTCAGGCCATCGATACACCTCAACAACCCCTACCGAGCTTGCTGAGGTCGATCCATCCACTACGTCCACCTCCAAACTTGGTTTGAGCCTCCTCAACCCCTCTCAATCCAATAACCCTTTCCGATTAGATCCTCAGTCTGATCCCACCAAGCTTAACCAAACTGTGCCAGGAACATCCAACCAAATCAATCCACAAGCCCTTCTCAATTCGAATGACGGTCTTCAGGATGACACCCCCTCTGACCCTTCAAAACCTCATCTCCCACAACCACTCAAAATCTTCGCGCCATCCTACCGGCGTTCAATCTCTGCTCCATTCACAAGCACCGGTCTTGTCTCGCTTGAGTTCCCCGGTCGTTTGGATTCGATTACTGAGGATGGTACCCTGCCAGCGTCTGCTCAACCAGACTCATCCTTCAACTTTATGAATCCACTCCAAACTCCGATGCCCTATGGTGGGGCTAACGACTCTCGTGAATCTGCGATGATGAAATTTCCGATTGAAACTAGTCCGACCATTCATTTTGCAGATCGATCCAGTCCTGCTCCATCCAACTCTCCTGATCAACCCGCTCGCATCAAGGTACCTTCAACTCAACCCAATCACAAGTATAGAAAGTGGTCCGGGAACTTTTATGTTTGGGCCTATGACACACCTTCAACCTCTCCTGAGAGTATAGCCCAATCCAGCCCAGCGATATCCAACAGTCCTTCTACAACTTCAATTCTATCGAATAATCGAATCGGAGGAATCTCCAGACACTTTTTCCAGCACGTTAAACCAGCGGCCGAGGCGAAGCCTGCCAAGTTGCAGACGGCAAAAAAAGAAAGACGAGGAGTTAAACTAGGTCTGATCAGCGGCTTGACTAAGCAGAGAGACACTGTATCATGCCCACAGCTCGAATTATCTGCTACGGATGACTTGAGCTCCCAGAAGGCGAATCTATATCCGCATAATCTATCCGAGCATTCGAATGCAATCGCTGGTCGGAGTACAAATGATCCGAATGAGATATTACAGTCGAACCAGCCTCGGCCTCCAGCTAGCTCAAAATCTACCGACCAGGAATCTAAACCGAAAAAGCTCCATTTTAGTAGTGATGCTAGGATTAGCAGGAAGAAATTTCTACCCGAATCTAATGGTGCTGGTAGCCCTCAGGGATCGATCACCAGTCAATTGGCCTTGGGTCCAGGTGCTGCGATGAATTCTCAAGGTATCGGCTCCGGCCAATGGAAGTTGGTCCAAGGGGTGATTACGGAAGATGGCCATTTTACACTATACGCCGGTGTAAGTATGAATGTCATGTTTTGCTCTTACTCAGCAACTCCTTCATTTTCTCCCACTTTGATCTGTTCATGTGCATCAAAACTTGATCAAATTTATTCCTACACACAAAAAAAGAAATCTAATTATTGAATCTCGCTCGATAAAACTTTGTGCTCTCCAGAACGATGTAACGCTATATCGGATTTATTTGCCCTCTTACCGACGAACGGATATTCGGATGGTGCATCAGTCGATTTTCGGCCGTCCGCACTGTGGCGTAATTACTCGAAGGACTGGAAGCACGGTTCAATCTGCCGCACGGATTCCTGATTCAGCGCTCAACTCATCAAGCTCTCTTCCATTACACGCGTCTCCCCCCTTTCAATCTTCCACAAATGGCCCTACTCCTCTAACGCCCAGCCACTTGAGTACATTTGATAATCCACATCAATTGGACCCATCAGCACCCTTACCCCTTACTGTCGGCATGAAAGACGCGTCAACGAATCCCGACAACATCCCCGGCAGTCCTACTCATCAGCAGAGCGACACCTCAAGTGGTACCACAGAACTTTCGATTTATATCTGCATGCCCAACTCTGTTTTGCTTGAATCCTGGTTGGTCATATGTAAATGCTTTTGCAGGCCTGATGACTTCAGACATCTTTACCCCCGTTCCAGTAAGAAGAATCAGGCCGCTGGTCACCAAGGAACACGACATAGGGTTCTGAGTTTGACAGGCTCTCAACCCACTCACCAGCCGTCATCATCGTCTGCTCTGTCTAGTGCGGGAGATATAGGATCAGCCAAAGGTGCGACTAATTCAACCAAACAGGCGTTACCTGAACGAGTTAGGATCTGGAGAGGGGTCGAGATCCAACTAGTGGAAGGTAGAAAACTAGGTGAAACTCGACAGATGGCTGTCAACACTATGACAAATGATTCATCTGGAGGGGTCGGGATTGCTAGATTGGTGACAAAAGACGAAAGAAGGAATTCGACCGGAGGATTCCTACCTACCGGTAGCCAAGCTTCTTTGCTATCAATCAACAAATCGGGAAACAATGGGAGATATCAAACTGGTCAACAGTCTATCATCGCAGATCCTAACCATCCACATGAACATCTAAACAAAAAGCTTCTGTCAAATCGGTACGATTCTAAAAATGTCGATGAATCAGACAGTTCGACCGCCGGTTTTTCGAGTTCAATCACCTCTAGCCTAACTCATAGTAATCAACCTGGTGGCCAGGTCAATCGGCAAAGTATCCCAACTGCTTCTACATCCAATTTCGAGGACAAGCCCCCTTCAACAACGTCGATCACCACGCCCATATCAATCCTTGAGTCTTCAACTCATAGCTCCAAGAATAGCTCAATATCGAATAATGGCTTTAGTGACAACTTTTACTTTGTCGAGTTTGACTGGGATAGAGAAATCATTGGTAGGTCCACTATCAAACGGAATGCCAACCCGTTTTGGAGCGAATCGTTTAAATTTTCGTGAGTACCTTCTGCAGTGTCTGTAACCTTCCGCATTTTTGGTATCTGGAGATTCGCATGCGTTTTGCCCCAGTAGATTAAAACGCTGATCTTGCCATTTCTTATTTGTCTGAATTCAAAGGGAAATTGGCTCGTTCAAGACGCCCCTGATTTTAAATGTTTACCAAATCAGGAAAAATTTCAATCATCCTCAATTGAAATCCTCCCTTCATCACTCGCATTCTCATCATCCGATTTCTAGCTCCAGTTCGTCATCAACTTCCCCTTCCAAAATCACCTTAATCGGCCAGAGTTATCTGGACTTCAAAATCTTCGAAAAGAATGTCCAGTTGCCACTCTGGCTACCTATTTATTCCACCAACAGTAGCGCTGCTCACGAGCCTGAAACCGACGAGAATTCCAGCAATTACGAAGATCGAGATAAGCCCTACAAAAAAGTTGAGATCATGGGTGAAATTAACTTGTCTATAACGGTCATTGAGCAGGTCGTGTTGGCTGAACCTGAATACGCTAAGATGATGAATGTTGGTCTTGCTTTGTCCTCTGTCTGGTTTGGATTTCTTCCTATTTATCTTGGGAGAAACTGACTAGGATTTTCTCGTTAAAAACAGTATTTGAACAATGATGACGACATCGTGTTACCGCTCGATCTAGCCAATATGGCCGTCGGTGAATTGGATCGATTGGCGGAGTTGTTGATCAGGATTTATGAGGCAAATAACCGGCTATTCATGAGATTTTCACAGCTTGCAGCAATCGAAATCAATGGTGACATATCAACCGCCAGCATTTTATTCAGAGCCAATACACTTTTGACTAAGATGTTGGAAGCCTACATGCGGATCGTTGGAAGCTCGTTTTTAGAATCAAGCGTTGGAGCGGTGATTCGTCGGATTTGTATGGCAAAAGCCGAACTAGAAATCGACCCTTCCAAACTGAAAACGTCGCTCTCTTCGCATCACAAGGAAAAAATCGTGAATGAGAACGCCAAAGAATTGAAAAGGCTTTCCAGTGAGATCTGGCAATCAATGTACATTAACCGATCCAAATGTCCCAATCGATTAAGGAAAATCTTCGTCAAGATCCAAGAATTGGTCGGGAATGCCTATGATGATCAAGATATGAGACTGACCTCCATTTCAGCCTTTGTCTTCCTAAGATTCTTCGTACCTGCGATTCTTAACCCAAGATTATTCAACCTGATTCAATTTCAGCCCGATAGCAAATCTCAGAGAACTTTGACCTTAGTAGCCAAAACGTTGCAAGGCTTAGGGAATCTGACTCTGTTTGGGATCAAGGAGCCCTGGATGAGCGTGATGAATGAATTTATTACTACTCAGCTGGATTCTTTTCGAGATTACATTTCATTTATTGCCAGTGAATCCGATTCAACCAAACCGGAGTGGACCTCGAAAGAATATGAGGGCTATGGATTACCTTATGCTCTTCGAGCTTCATTGCCTGCTTCATCTCGGGATGGAATTCCAACGTTACCTCACTTACTGGATCCCGTTCGAGATTGTTCACTTCTGGCTAGTTTGATCACCATCATCAAGCGGAAAGCATCAGTCTTGGATTCCTCTAGGCACCACTCGTCCGTTCTACCACCCAAGACGACCAAGCTGATCGAGCGACATGGCACTCGGCCTCGTCGCTGTACTGAAGCTTCCGAATTTCGCGACAGAGGATCTGAAATGGCTGATGATGGCAACAGTCATAGTACTACAACTGAGTTTTTGAAAATCTGCGGTGATTTGTATGCCAAATCTGAAAGACGGTATTTGAAAATCATTCAGTCTGAATCGAAAGATCCAAATGCTTCAAACAAGGCTTCGTCGACCACAGCAACTACTACAACTACAACTACAGCAACTACCACCACAGCAACTTCTGATCATCGCGCTGTCTCAACAACGGCATCTCCGGTTTTGCCTGGAGCCTTCACACACACCCAAGACGTATTGTCTCAAAGTAAGATTTATTCAAGGAAATGGGCTTTCAATAATAATAATGATCGACCCGGGCAACCTTCTCCTCCGACCCCAACATCCCTAACAAGGTCACCGTCCACTAGCCTGTCTTCGTCCACTACCACCCGATGGAAGCGATCGCATACTATCACTGCTGAACAGGGTAGCAGTACTGGCTCGAAAGCCGAGCATCTATCAAGCCCTAACTGCTCTCCTGGTAAGCCCTCTTTGCTTGGTCTGCTTGGCTTGGGCAGTCGGTCAATAATCCCAACCCATCCGTCCTAAATCGAGCACAGCAATCTCCAGCGTAATATCTCCGACACTTCCTCCACATAATCCTATCTTGTCCAAATCGACTAGCCTCGGAAAACAATCTTCGCCCAGACTCATCATTCCGGTCGACATCGCTTCTGTCGATCCTCTTGCTCTCTCTCAGCTCCAGTCCCCCATCTTCGGCTCCGTGCCCAATCCTAAAAATCTCTACTTGGATGGCCGAGATAACCCCGCCACGCGATGGCCATGACGACTTGGATTCCTCTGAGCTTCATACCTCGCAAAGAATCAAAAAAAAACCATTATCAAAATTATCTCAATGGTAAGATGGAGGGAGAAGTGGGATAGCATTTATGTTGGGCTCGCTGGTCTGGCAGTACAAGGATCTCAGAGAAATAGAGTCACTCGGGCACAGGTATATATCGTAACACCGATCGGCTCATTCAGCCCCCCCCTTCAATATACGACTCCACCACTCGAGTCTTTCGATCGATTATAAGCCTCAGACAGACCTCGAGCCTCACTCGCTCTATGACCAGTGCTTGAGACCTGAGTAGCTGGCTTTCTTTGCGCTCCTGAAAATACCGCGCCGGCCGTCATACTTGATGTCATCGAAAAGCTAATTGTGTATTGTTATTCAATTCGAACAAAGATTCTCATTCACTTGGCCTTTTTTCTTTCTTTCTTTCTCTTTGTATTTATCTTTAACAGCATTTCCAATGTCTCACTTAACTTATCTATTTACTTATCTTTCTTTCTTTTTGTGTAGTTTTGTTTTGGTCATTCTTGTTTTTGGTTTGTTTTTGGTTTTTGGGGGGTAGGGGAGAGTTTCAGAGTGACGTACGGGGTTGGTATTACGTTGGTAGTGGGACTGTTGGAGAGAAGTTAGACCAAGTCCGTTGGATGGATGCAATTAGTTAACCTGAACTTGAAGTCAATGTAAATCGTATTGTTTAATCATCTTCTTCTTGGTGTTTCTTGTATACATTATTTGAATGTTGGCTCTTTAGAACGGTTGATGTTGGGAGTATGGATGATCAAGGGTGTGGGGCACATGGCTGTGTGTTGGTTGTAACTTGCGGGGTTTCTACTTGTGAAATTGGATCCAGATTTTGAAAAAAAAAAAAAAAAAAAAAAAAAAAAAACAAGTGAAGAGGAAAAGAGTGCACTGAAGACTTGTAGCCCTTGTCCTAAGAACTTGAGCATGGTGGAAGAGTCAGGTTCTTTATCAAAAAGAAAAGAACAAGAAAATTATGTGTCGATTTTTGTTTGGGTGGGTGTGTTGAAACGAAGGAGTGAGAGTAGCTATTGACATCATAAGTTACACTTGGCTCACGAATAGGCTACAGTGTGCATACATAGCCAGGAGGCTTTAATGAAGCCGGACTCTGAAGCCAGAATTTGCGGATAATTACAAGCTGATTGTTATAACATAGGTGCTGAGAGCAGCTTTCATGTAAACAAACTTCAATCACAAATAGTAAACTGAAAATTTTTCAAAGTGATTGCAAAAGAAAAAAAATCATGTAGAAATTGGGTAATCTGTAACCAAAGCCAACTACTCAGATAATGCATAAAAGGGGGATTAAAAATAGAGAAATAAACTGGGAAAAAGTAATACTCAAATTGATACATCAAGAGGAATGAAAAGTGAGAAATGAAACTGAATATATATAGGGGGTTGGAAAAATGACTCCCAAAAATTTGCCCACAACTCCCATTTTGGTCAAGGTATGGGACAGTCATGAAAAACTAGGTCCTTACACCATATGACCCCCCAGACTGATAAATTTATACCTACCAACATTCCACCCTATTCAATGGAAATCATGATTTCCCTATTGTTCCTCTCCATTGCCAAAAGATATCCCATATTTCTTGGGGCTTTCCCCTGATTTCCCCAGAAATTCCCCTGATTTCCCCAGAAATTCCCCTGATTTCCCCAGAAATTCCCCTGATTTCCCCAGAAATTCCCCTGATTTCCCCAGAAATTCCCCTGATTTCCCCAAAGAATGGGAGTCTATCCCTGGCCGGAATTTCAGATGAAATCAAGGTTTGATAGTCAATTAGCCAAGCCCCTATTTCTTTTCCTTCTTTTTAACCTCCTCTAAACCATTTGTTCCCCTCTGACTCAACAACATCCTTGCCGGTGTGGAATCTGGATTGTCTATTATCTTGATAATACATGTTCAAGTTTCAACCAAAAAACACCATTCTTCTTATAGTATACAACCCTCAGCTACCATCAATCTCAACTCACAATATCTACCTTGTGAAATAGGCTGGCCAGCAACCTCCATTTCCTTAGGTGTGCTTACAAGAATAAATACCAAATTTAGGCCATATAGCTTTCTCTTAAATACTTTAGTTTCTTGCCCTCAATTCTTGGGAATTTCTTATCCTAGCCTCATCATTTGACACATTTTCTTTGCCAATATGAAGGTGTGGAAATGTGTTTCTCTGGCTTCAATTTCTGTTTTTGGGCAGCACCTGTATAGTTAAACATGAAGTGAAAATCACTTCTATGGGATGAGTAGGCCCAAAGCAGTTTTTTTAGCGCCTGTAAAGCTGGGAAATCAGGACTTGTGCATTATTGGATTTGCTTTTGCTAAGAACCCTTGAGACTAGGATTTACTGTTTTGGTTTGGTGATGCAGATTTTGAATGTCCAATTTTGCTCAGTTTTGTCTTTTGAATCTTAACATATAGATATGTAGGGGAGAAATTTGAACATTGTGCTTTGACTGATTAACTATCATTTTGATGACAGCTCATCATAAAAATCTCAAAAATTGTTTTTTTGTAAGGACAATTCTTGATTTTGCAAAGCAAATCAAAATGGTTCAGAGAAACAGTTTCTTGGTTGATTTAAAAACCAGTTCAAAAAAGTAAATAGCCACCCAAGAAGGGTTGCCTGTGTGTTCCTTGTGGCCATTCAATAAATTGAGTTACTTCAGAAAATTCCTCTGTGAATGATTGGGATTTCAATTGAGCTGACATGCAAAATCAGAGAAACTACCTTCATCAAAACCAAGATGTGAAATCATACATGCATGAAATTGTTAGTCATATGAATGTATTTTATTCTTAAGAAAATCATATTTAATTAACTTGGGATGAAATTTTGAATCATCAAATCATCATGTATTTGTATGGACCAAGAGATAGATTATTACAAAATTGAAGTTGCTTAATTCCTTGTGTAATGCAACTGTGTGGATTATTTCTGATGTATTCCTGTCAAGTAACTAACTCCTTTTATCAATTCTCTATTTAAATGAGAGGTAAAAGATTTTTGATATCAGTTTCCTAGTCCTTAATGAATCAATTCAATTGTGACTCAGAATGGTTGATGAAGATGCCACAACTCACTCTATTTACACCTCCCAACAAGCATTTCAGCACGAAATCCCCAGTCAATTTCCCTTTGTATGGTGTAGTATCCTGCAATTATTTCCATCAATTAGCAGTTATATTTCATTCTTTCAACTTTCCAATCACTTACCACAATATCCCTCTTAACCCCATATATCTTCTTTAGGTCATCATCCAAGGTTTTCAAGAGTTTTGTTGCTTCTCTGAATATGAAAGATTTAAATTGGCGAATATCATTTCAAGAGCTCACACAGAATGATTACAGAAAATAAGATGGCTACGAACGAGCTGCACCCGATTTGTATAAATTGAACGCCGACCTCATTTAGTGGAAAGTTCCCCTCTTCTAATCGACCGACAATGCTCAAAATTGTTTGAATGAGAGTTTCCGGATCATCTGTTACGCCGTCAGTGATGACCACCAGGTTCAGTGGCTTTATCGGGGGTAGGCGCTGAGCCTTCAAGGATTCTAGCTGGTCCAAGCTTTAGATGAAAATTAAAGTGCTTATCAGGACGGAATAACGATGAGCGCATCAATGGAACCCCTGCTTGAAGGTTCTTCACTGCATCTGTTTTACCGACTGGCAAAGGAAAGCTTACTGATAGCTGACTAGTGCCTCTATGCGGGCTTCAATTGGTGTACAGGCGCCATTTGGTCGAACCTCATTAAATAATCGATTTACCTCCTGAGGAGTTCTTGCATTTCGAAGATGAATATTTGTGCTTTTCAAATTGAGAAGTAACAGATGTTTGATCTTTGAGTGCCATTTCTCTGGGTCATTTGTGATAAAGGTCAGTCAATAAATTGCAGAATATTTTGCCACTCACTTCAAGAAATAGATATCAATACCCTCTGTATGGAATAATTGGGAAAGGGGGGGGGGGATGAAAACGTCAATCCGACTGAATATACTGGGGCTTGGGAGCCGTCTATATATATAAAGGGCAGAAGGTGAACCTGGCGTGTGTTGGACGGCAGTAGCAGCCACTGCACTCAGAGTTTCTTGAGCCTCCTTCCATAAACCATTTAAGCTCATAGAAGCACTGTCGTCCACTAAGAAGATTGTGTGATATCTGTAAAGCGTTGCTAACAAGTTCTCCTTTCTCATCGAACTTGAACGTCTAACCGGCAAATTATCATTGTCTGGGATCATCGCTGGTCGTTGATTCGGTTGAGCGCCAGGGCGAGAGTGAGTGCTGCTGCTGGTTTTGATGGTACTATGTCTTAGATAATTTCTGTTTACAGTACTGCTTATTTGATTTAGTCCACTCAAGATAGGCTGGGGTAGATTCAAATATCCTAAAGAATTTAGACAATTTCGCGCAGATTTGCAACCATCCAATAACAGACTATCGACCGAATTTCGGGACCTTTGTGATGTCTTTTGAGCTGCTGTTCGAGTGGTGTGATTCAGGTTATCGTCTTGGCTTCTTTGTGGACTGCTTGTACTTTTTCGCACATCATAATTCGATTGAGAGTGGATGGGATGTGTTCCTCCAGGTAAAAAAACATAATTTGGAATCGCACGACATGCACCTTGAGGCATGATCGCTCTTGCGCTTAAACTTGATCAGAAGATTTGAACAAATTGGCGACAGTCAGTTATAGATTTGGATAAGACTCTAGCAGCGGAAATTGAAAATTATCTTGAGCCTACAATCACTCTGATTTCAATTGAGCAAGAAAATCCAAACAGGAGTGGGAAGAAATAGCGCTATTTGACTAGGGATGAGACGGCTGAATTCCTATCGTGATGCCCGAGATCATCTGATCAAATCAGTGAAGAACTTTACACTGACCTTAAATGGAAGACTAACCGTACTCTGAAACTGATCAGGTTTTTTTGGAAATAACTATAAAGGGCAAACCAGAAATCAAAATACTCTCGCTATCACTTGGCGGAAAGTTTTCAAACCTTTTAAACAATCGCTGATTGGTCGGACCACCTTGAAATTTGGAAGTAGTGAATATCGACGTAAAACGGCCCCGATTGCAATCAATACGACTTTGTGCAACTTGTATCCCCCTTCCCACCTCGTTGAAGTAGCGGAAACAACCCTGTCCCTATACATAGACTATAAAATACACCGAGCATACATGCCAGTACTGCGCGAAGCGATCCCACAATCGACATGGGTACGTCCTCCACTGTGACTGATCGAGAATTGCCTTGCTTCTGCGATCAAGAGTTTTAACGCGATATCATGTTTGATCAAAGCGTTCAAGCACCTCGCAGAACTGTGGACAGAAATATTAAAAATTGTGTATTCACACCAACACCTGTTACCACTTTCTTCGGCGGTAGCCTTGCGACCTGCGGACATTATTTCACAGGTCCTTCATTCCCTTTGCTTATGTGCCCTGTGAGGATAGAAAAGGCACCGACCATCTAGAAGATCCAAGCCAAAATTTGCACTCCCCTATTCGGATATATAAAAATAGGCTATAACACTCACCACTGGGAGTAAAATTGGGGCTTTTAATTGTCTTTTTGTCACCAAATGGACACATGAGGCTAGTTCATATCCTGCGGAATTTTGAAACCAGCAGTCAAGCCTTGTTCAAACCCAAACTTTTTCTCAGCATGAATGCTGATATTAGAAATCAGTGGAAAAAAACTTGCTGGTAAATCAGCCTGATGCATGTTCATACCATCAAGCGCCAAGGAGTGGCAGGAGACAGGACAATCAAAAGCTCAAAAATGTCCCCAGCCTATGAGTGCATTCTGCTCCCACTGAAAATGTGACTTAATACACAAGTCCTTCCCAGTTGGAGGGGAAAATTTGCACCCAAGTTGAGTGTTACACAGAAAGCCTCCCTCCCGAGGAAAGGGGGAGGGGGGGAGGGAGGTGTTGTAAGTTACATAGCAGTGATACTAAATCTGAACTTCCAGATAGATGACAAGCTGCACCAATGGTATAAAAAACTGTGGACTAACTCACCTTAGTTCAACCTGTGCTAGTGCTCATTTTTAATTTAAAGCCTCTCCGCTAAATCTGGTACTATGGTCCATAGCCAGTGTTGGTGATGATTGTGATTATCTCATTTTATGGGAAGACTTTCTGTTGATGTTTACAGCAACACTAGCGGTGTTCAAGAAGTCTAAATAAGATAGATATATCTGAGTCATCCTGTGTTTTGAAAATTATTGGAGCTCCAGCCTCAAGGAGAATATTTACATGCAAGCAGATGAAGTGCACCGGTGGTGAAGTGTTGGGCTAACAACGGAAGGAATTGTCTTGCATATTCAAGTTTGGCATGGACTGATCATCAGGTTTTGAAAATCCAGCCAGTCATAAACAATTTGCATTTTTGTTGATGATTACTTGAAAGTATGAATTTTTAGGATAAGTGAACGTCTCCTGCACTGCAGCAAGCTACATAACTTATGGGAGTTTGTCTGGTTCACATGTATTTATTTATATACAATCATCTTGAAATTTGAGCTTCACTGTAGGATTTGCGGAAACCATGAAAAGTTTTGACTGATGTTCAGGGCAGAAAGTCCGATTACAGAGTGGATCCATAAATCTATGTATCCCGGTTGGAAAAGTAAGACCCTGGAAAGGGATATCCGGAAACGCTGCTCATTACAGAGTGGATCCATAAATAAATAACATCCCGGTTGGACAAGTACTCCAGACCCTGGGATGGGATATCCGACAGTGTTAAGTAAAATCATGATCACTACTCCAAACATCTGCCATTTGGACCATGGGATGGATCACCTGTGAGGACTGACCGCACCCCTCTAAGAGAGTCGCTCATGTGCGCGTAAGAGGTGGTTTAGACAGTTATTTTGGCGGGGATTCAGTCGGCCGCAGGAACCACCGGTTTGGGGGGACCTCCCAGCCAAAATTCCCCAAAGTCCGCTCAACTTCAAACTCAACCTCACCCGCCCTTTTGTTTCCTCCAAATCCGCCGATACTGAAAAACAGTCATACTCAGCTATCGTTGTTTGAATACAGTCCTCCTTACTCACGCGACATTGCTCATATGTACCATTCTTTGTAACTAGTACTCATGTGATGTCCATTGCAACAGCTACTCAACAATCAAAATGAAACCAAAAATGAGTGTGGAGTCTTGGGGGGGGGGAGGAAGTTCCCTTGAACGATCAGGATGTTTGTGTGCAGTTTGACTTTGGATTTGAACAATTAACCCTTTTTGTTCCAATACAACACATGTATCAGTAAAACAACATGCCCACAGGTGATTTCTGGTGCGGCTGCAGATGGATTGGCATCCCATTTTGCATTACGGAATCAGAGAGTAAGGCATGAATTCACTAGATAGGCGCATTCATTCGCAAGCACACGTTGAGAGAACAAACAAGAGAACAAACACAAAGAACCAGACAAAACTAGCGACACAAATCGACATGAAGGAAGAGGTATCGCCAGTCGATCACTTTATTACTAATTGACATGTAGATGATTTAGCAGTTCACCCGGGTCTACCTCTTCCCCTTCCTCATCGATCTCAACCCCCTCGTCATCATTGATAACCTCCTGTTCAGGATGTTCGGTCCCCATGGTGTGAACTGCTTCAGTTGATGCTAATGTTGATATGAGGCGGAACCATTCGTGAGTTTGTGGACCGTTTCCATATAGCTGTTCCCACAATGACAGAGCATCCGCCGACCAAGTATTCAGAAGAGCCTCATGTTTAGTTAGGTGGTTCTTTAAGATGTATAGTGATAGTTCAGCCTTGACCGAGTTGCCACAATCACCCAAGCTGATCGAAGTAAGAATGCCGCCTGCTGTATCGTTTGCCTCAACTTCTTCATCATCTTCAGACAATTCCGCTTCCGAGAGGAAATTTTCTACCAGTAAAATGAAATGATACAAACAAATCAGATCACACAATATTCCATACCAGAGCAATAATAATATGTTATCGTACCAAGTATACTAATTTTTGCCTTGATAGCGACATGATGATTTACAGCCCAAGATAGCGCTGATTCAAACTCATGCTGTATCATACCAATTTCCTCTTCTACCCTTTTTGTAATCAGCATTGCATGTATTCCGGATTGTACATCGGAGTTGACCGCCCAAGGAGCTTGTGAATGGTACAGATACACATCTTGCCAGAAAGCATCATCGAGTGACAAGTTGACAAAAGTTTGATAAGTCATCTCGGGGATATTTGGTTGATCTTCGTCAGGGGACAGAAGCGAAAGGTATCCATGTTGATATTCGTTATGTTTCCGTATTGCTGTTTCAATAGGACTCTTGCGCCGTTCAATCGCAGCTATGATTCGTGTGCTGAGTGTCGTTCCAATGTGAGTCCCGCGATACAAAGGCTGTCGTTCCGCAAACAACTCAACAGCATGAGTGTACAACTCGGATTTGGAATGCCAAAGGAGTAGTTGCAATCTTCTCCTTGGGGCTTTGAATTCCCATATATCAGTTTAGGTTACGGAAAGACAATGAGCACGACTTGAGACATACCATCTTGGCCAATCAAAATGTCGTGCTCTCCAGGAAACTCCCTAGCGAATTCGCGTTGCTGTTCCATGCTTGAGGCAATGTCCAGTAAGGATTGAAATATGTCGTCATACGTATCAACATTGGCCGATGCCATCTCGTTGACTCGTGCTCTGTAGTTCTCAAAATTCAGGCAAATATGTTTGGTTAGAAATCAAATAAACCTAATTGCCTTCATTGATGGAAGTTCACTTACCTCAGTCGATTTAAACTGGCTTCCCGATCCAGGAAGCCTGCTAGTTGCTCTTGCCGCTCGCGATCCGCATCAGTATGGTTCAACTGAAATTGCCGTTGATCGTTCCATTGATCTGCAAAAAACTGCAGGTTGTAACTTGCTCTTGGGGATGCAAAAGGATTGATTAATCGATAGAGTGAGTTGAGCTTGCTGGTTGATTCTTGTTTTTGACTTATTGCTTTGTTGTACTTATGTCCAAGCCAGTGAACTAAAAGACTTTGTCAGCTACATAGTCCGAAAAGGTAGAAGTGGCGAAATTTGTACCCACTCAAGTTTTCAATCCCTCGTTTGTTGTGGAAGTGAATTTTGTGCGCAAGTGCAGCAAGCCTGTGATTTCGGGTAGCGTATCGCAGAGGACTTACTAGAGGAGAAAGATAAGACCATAGTCTTTCTAGTCCTTCGCCATCAGAAAGGCCCCATCCGTCGTTGTAGCAAGGGCTAAATTCCAATTGACACTTCCAATTGTGTACATAGGAATGAAACACCGACGTGCCAAATGTAAGCCTATTAGTATCTTCGGGGAAGAGGTGCCGCTTTTCATTAAACGATCATCAGCACCTATAAAAGTATAGCTTGAAGAAATAAAAGATAAAATTCAGCTCACTAGAGAAATAAACTTCTTCAAATTGCATCCAATATCGTAGAGAACTCGCACATCCCTTCTTGAGTTGACATCGGATAGAACCTGGTTTAGTATAGCCAAGGGATACTTGCGATTTTCCCCTCCATCAGAGATGTTTGCAAGGTAAATGGCTGAGTCATGCCTACAACAACAGCCCATCAGCCCTGTATCATCACATGCTTTCCATGTCGACTTATTTCGCTTATCATCTGCAGCTTTATGAGAATCTGCACAGCGATCTCGCTGAAATATCATACAAAAATTCATTTCAGCTTTTAACTGATACAAGTCGGATAACTAAACTCACAGCTCCTCTGACACGGTGGATCTCTTCTTGGTTTTTGATGTAGTCATTCATCTGATTGATTGAGCAAGGTTTGATAAACTTATCGGGAGTTATCAACTTGACGTAATTCCTGCTGCCTGAAAAATGGTGCCGGTGTTGAAAGTTACCATCGAGACATATTACTAGAGGGGGTTGTTGGTTCTGTGACACTTGTTCTGAAGTAGTTGATTCATTTGCATTTTGAGAAGCGGTATCCGGTGCGATTGCAGGATTTTGACTTTGAGGAACAGAGTCAGACGCGGTGGCTAGATTCCGATTTGCTGAGTTTGGAACGATGTCTTCGGGAGAAGGTGAGCCAAAACACGAGGGGCATGAATCTAAAGCTAACGATTGTTTTTTTGTCAAGTGAAGCGTATCTTTGATAACGTTGTCTGTACGATTTCCTAACAAGCGGTAGACATCAACAGCTGCTGAAAAGCTCGTGCGGAGATCTCGCCGCTTACAAATGAAATAATAATAGTGTCAGGGCACATTTTATCATTCAAATATTATTCAATGAACTTATGAAATGGTCACCTTTCCAGATTGGGTAAGAAGTGGGAGTGATCGTTCTTCCAGCTAGAGATGGCCCCGTTGCATCCGGATATCCGCGCGGATGCGGATATCCGGCTGCCTTTTCAGGGGGAAGCCACATCCGCACCCGCAACCGCAACCGCGGGCGGGTATCCCCCCGCCTGAGCGGGTATCCGAGCGGGTATCCTCGGATACCCGGCCTTTAACTGGCCGGCGAGGTACATGTCTCTCGGCGAGTGAGGAGATCTCTCTCGACGCGGAGAGTGAGCTGCACCTCGTGGAAGAAACACGCCTGCTGCAAGGAAACCCATT